CCGGCCCGCCCGCAGAGCGCATGCGCAGACAGCCGCGGCCTGCGCGCTGCTAAGTGATCGTGGGCCACGTGTCCACACACACACACGCACACACACACACACACACACGAATATCCCTGCAGCCCTTCCCCCACACCCCCTACACAAAATCCAGCCCCCCCAAACACACCTATACAAACACCCCCTACATGCACACATATACGCACCCTACAAAAACCCACACACACCCCCATGCCCCCGCACACACACCTATACACGGGCACACACAGCCCAGTTACACGCACACCCCTACATCCACCTGCACACACATTCTACGCATACACCGCCCCCCCCGTGCACACCTACAAGCGCACCCCCGGTACACGTGTGCACCCTAAACACACCTACCCCCGGGCCTTTGCACACGTGGCCGCTGTAAATGTCTTGAGCGACTCACCAGTGAACGGCGGTCATGACAGATCATGTCGTGAGACAGTTGTTTCTATCAACCCAGAAGACAGGCGGGTGATCCAGGCTGACCTGGACAGGCTCAGCAAGTGGGCGGACGAGAATCTGATGGTGTTCAACGCCGATAAATGCAAGGGTCTCCACCTTGGGGAAAAAAAACCCGCAGCATCCTTATAGGCTCGGCAGAAAGCGACCAAAACGCTGGCTTGCCTCCATAGATGCTTCTCAAGCAAATCCCGGGACGTCATTCTCCCCCTGTACTCGGCCTTAGTGAGGCCGCAGCTGGAGTACTGTGTCCAGTTTTGGGCTCCACAATTCAAAAAGGATGTGGAGAAGCTTGAGAGAGTCCAGAGAAGAGCCACGCGCATGATCAGAGGTCAGGGAAGCAGACCCTACGATGACAGGCTGAGAGCCCTGGGGCTCTTTAGCCTGGAAAAGCGCAGGCTCAGGGGTGATCTGATGGCCACCTACAAGTTTATCAGGGGTGACCACCAGCATCTGGGGGAACGTTTGTTCACCAGAGCGCCCCAAGGGATGACGAGGTCGAATGGTCACAAACTACTTCAAGATCGTTTCAGGCTGGACATAAGGAAGAATTTCTTTACTGTCCGAGCCCCCAAGGTCTGGAACAGCCTGCCACTGGAGGTGGTTCAAGCGCCTTCATTGAACACCTTCAAGATGAAACTGGATGCTTATCTTGCTGGGATCCTATGACCCCAGCTGACTTCCTGCCCTTTGGGCGGGGGGCTGGACTCGATGATCTTCCGAGGTCCCTTCCAGCCCTGATGTCTATGAAATCTATGAAACCCTGGACTAGGGGTTCACTGACAGATTTTGGGGCAACACCGACAGCTGATGGAGGCCCCTGCAGTGAGGGAGGGCGTGGGGCAGGGGCTGGGACAGGCGCTGTCCAGCCAGGGCAGGCGAGGCACGGGACAGACCTGCAGCTTGTCCAGGGGGAGGGGCAGCTCCTGCCACTGCGTGCACCCCAAGAGGGCATGGGGCAGGGCAGGGGGGGATGCCTCCGGATCTTCATGGAGCGGGCTGCAGCTGCGGGCTGGGGCCAGGGCTGCCTCAGGCTTTTCCCGGTGCGTGGGGGGCGCCTATCCCAGCCCCACTCCCTCCCTCACCGTGGGGGGCACCGAGCTGTCCTCCCCCCACGCCCCTTCCTCCCTCCTCCTCCCCCTCAACAGACTTCCCAGCTGGACGCAGCTCTCCAAGCTGCTGGGCTGTGCTCCTTACCGCCTACGTCCTGCACTGAGGCTGTGCACATGCACGGGCCATTTATTGGCCAAATTATCAGCTACATCGGGCCGATTTCTGATACAATTACTTTTCTTTATATTGGGCCTGATCCAATATCGGACCGATGTATCAGTGCACCTCTAACCTAAACCTCCCTTGCTGCAACGAGCCCATTGCTCCTTGTTCTGGCACCACTGAGAACAGTCCGGCTCCATCCTCTTTGCAACCCCCTGCAGGGAGTTGACGGCTGCTATTCAATCCCCACCTCAGTCTTTTCTTCGCCAGACTAAATAAGCCCAGTTTCCTCAGCTTCCCCTCACAAGTCACATGCCCCAGCCCCTGAACCATTTTTGTTGCCCTCCGCCGGACTCTCTCCAGTTTGTCCACATCCTTCCTGTAGCGGGGGGCCCACGACTGGACACGGGACTGCAGATGTGGCCTCGCCAGTGCTGAATAGAGGGGAAGAATCGCTGCCCTTGACCTGCTGGCACCGCTCCTACCAGTGCAGCCCAGGATGCCATTAGCCTTCTTGGCAACAGGGGCATGCTGGTGGCTCCTGTTCAGCTGCCCCCCCAGAGTCCCAGAATGCACTTCTTTGCACGCTCCTCCTGTTTAGGGTGTCTCTTGCTGGATGCAAAGTCACTTGCCTAAGGGGCACTAATCAAGATCAAAACCATAGGAGAAAGGGGCATCCCCGACGCCCCTCAAAGAAATGGGTGAGGTGTGGCCTGCTTCGAGGGTGTGTGTGGGGTGCAGGTGGCTGCGAGGAAGAGAGGGACAGACGGACTTGCACTGCTTGGAGGCAAGAATTGTCCCTTTGCCATCCCAACAAGCCGGGAGCTGTCCCGTCGGCCCTTCCCACGTGGCGCGTGGGGCTAGGATTCCACCCAGGGCAAGAGTGGAGGGAGGTGCTGCCACCATTCACCCGTCGCCCCGCCTCAATTTCCACCCAAGCCCTTCACCCCCCTTGCCTCAGTTTCCCCATGCCTTATTTTGTCCCCAGGAAGCCCTCCAGCTCCCTGAGCCTCACTTTCCCCGCGAGTCCTGCAGCTTCTGCGCCTGGATTCCCCTGGACCTCAGCTTCCCCCTGCCTCAGTTACTGCCGTCCGGCCAGCCCGTGTCTGCTTCCCCCTCAGCCTGCTTACCTATGAGTCCTGCAAGCCCCATGCCTCAGTTTCCCCCAAAGAAACCCCCAGCTTTCTGAGCCTGTTCCCTCCCTCCAGCCCCTGCTCCTCAGTTGCCCCCAACAAGCCCTGTAGCCTCCGCGTCTCCGTTTCCCAGAGCCGTCCAGGCCCCGAAGCCTGTTTCCCAACACGCCCCAGCTTCCTCCTACTTGCTGCCCCCCACGAGCCCTCTGGGCCCCCATGCCTCAGTTTCCCCCAAACCCGCCAGCCCCTGTGCCTCAGTTTCCCTGCTGACCCCGCCAGCTCCCCACACCTGAGCGTGGCAGTGGGCCGGAGGGGGGCTGGCAGAGAAGCAGGAAGCACGGGGTCGTGACTGCCCCTTCCCAGTGGCTAAGCCCCGAGAAAGAGAAGCGGTGCCTGGGCTGGGGGGGGTCGTGTCGTGTCGTGTCTCCCGGGCTAGACGGCGGTGGGCGGGGGAGCGGGGCAGGACGCG